CATCTCTTGTTATCAAAGTGAGAAACCTTACTGCTCAAATGTTTTTTTTAATTTTTAATTTTGTTTTCATTAAAGCTTGATTCCACACTGTATTTTTGGTACAAGTATTGAATTCTCAGTATGTGATATCGGCAGCCCAAATTTTTGCAGGCCAACCATTTATATCAGATGAGCGTCGACATGGGATCGAAACCCGGGATATGTGAATGATCAGCGAGTATCCTAACCGCTGTGCCACCACGAAATACAGTAAACCAGCACAAATCAACTCGTACAATAGTGGTTAGGAAAACACCTTAAGTAAACGACTTAAAATACTTGAGTAAGGGATCAGTGATTAAATAAAATAAAAATATAATCATAAAACTATAGAAAACGCTACTCACAGTATCCTTTTTTCAGATAAAACATGAAATATAGAGTATTTTCAATCTTGGCACACACCAAGCTAACACGAAAAGTATATACAAATGAATAAATTTAACGAAAAATAAATGGAAGGTTTTCCAAATGAGTCATTAATAAGAAAGGACATCACAATGAAGAGAATCTTATTAGTCGTGGACAATAGGCTTCTCTGAGTGACCACTTCCTAGAGATACACAGCATTTTCCAACTGTTCACAAAAAGGAATCCAAATACGCGATACACATATCATGAATCACTTTTTATTCAGTGACTGTAACCGATCTCCAAATCATCTTACCATGAGCATTAGCAGGGATGAATTCTCGCTATAGTTTTGTTTTATTTCTAATTTGAGATAATAAATGCATACCCAGTACAGATGGTTTCAATGCTCCACAATATTTCGTCTTCGTCCAGGAGTCATATGCGTCTTGTAACAGTGTTGTTGCACACAAAGTTAAAGCCAAATCCGTAGATTTTTTTTCTATTTTTCCTTCAAGAATTGCACAGTGTCTCGTTGAAAGCCACTCAAATATGCGAACGAGTTCATTTAATCTGATATAATTAAATGATTGAAACGACAAAAAATGCTAAAGAGTTCAAACATTTTGGTGGATGGAAATTTCGGAGGCCCATTGATTTAAGCAGTCCGCTTTTTTATTGTTTGATGCTTCAGTTTACTATTATTTTCACAATGATTGGCCGATTGTTACTACTAAAGCACTATCATTTACTAATAACATGGCAATTCTCATGGGGAAATATAATATAAACATAATGCTGTATTTCTGCCAGGTTTTGTCCGTTTTTTCTTCTTTCATTTGATTTGAGTATTATCCACACTCAATAGGTTAATTTCAATGTATCCTTTTCAACCTCCACTTAGCCATTCCCCCCCAGATTACACCTTAAATCACGCAACACATTGCCTAGAATACACTGACCACTACCTGATTGATTTCATGAATGTTTTGTTAAATACAAATAGAACTGAACAGTTCTTATAAATGTTTCATCAGAAACCTTTCAGATATCAATAATTAACGACATAAGCAGTCCTGTGTACTTCTACGAGTTCCAGACGGTAAAGTAGAGCGGAAGCCTTATTTTGATGTATTTAACAGGTCCCTATATGAATGTCTGTTTCGTCGATTTGGGCAGCTAGTAAGGACTTCTCATTGTCAGTAAGAATAAATAGATCAGTTCGATTGATTAAGTGTTCCACCAAATACCTAATCACTGAAAGAAATTCACTATACTAAAAGTGATTTTAATCCACTGATCTCAGAGTGGTGAACAACAGACACGCCAAAGAAAATGGAGATGAATCGAATATATGCTGAGGAGATGGTTAACTGACATTGTGCATCAACAGACATTCGATTGGAACCAAAATGAGAAACGATGAATTAAATACGAGTTCAAGGGTGATAAGGAGGGGACTGATTAAGGAGGAGACGACACACCACAGGCAATCATGCAGCCAGATAAAGAAGATTTCAGCAAACAGAACAAAATAAAGAGGAACCGTTAAAGTCAGATGTTCGAATCGGAACCGAAAGGAATTATAAGTATTGGCAGTCTGAAGATTATAATTTAACCTAATTTACTTCAGTTATAGTGAAATGAGTCAGTCAGAATATTCTTCCTAGTAGTTTACCATCTTCAAAGAGGCACTTTTATCCTTTAATAAAAAACTTCTCTAAATTTTATTAAGGATCTCATGAAGTATAACTGGATTATAACACAAAACTGTTAAGTAAGTTGAGTTAACTTTTATAAAATCGTAAGTTTCATTTCACTGTTGCACAAACTTTCATAGTGTGAATGTAAACTGCAAACGTGAACCAATACTTTTTGTATTATGAATAGTGATAAAACGCATTTTCAAACTACACTGTCTAATTGGTAATGAACTTACGTTGCTCTATATTGTAGAAATTATATAAGCGACAACACGTTTTAATATTACCAGCGATTCCTTTAATTTAGAAATTCATCATACCTTAAAATATACTTTTCAGCAAAAATATCATTATACCCCTTCGACTAGCCTGAATGATGAGAAACCATTCAGCAGTATTTCTGTTGAAACTTAACAATCAATACATTTACTGACTTAAATGAAAGGTTAAGTTGGAAAGTGACTGCAATACAATCGCAGTTATGTTCACCCTAAATAGTAACCAAAAGTGATTAAAGACTAAAAAAGAATATCTTACGACAAGCAACTATTCCATCGATTTATTCAGAAGACTTAAATACCGGTAGAACCGTGAAATGAAACCAAAAATTGTTGAAAAGTGCTGGTCCCTCAGGTATCAAGAATAAAAACTGATATCTGAGAATCAGTGGATCCAATTCACAATACACAAAATAAGGAAGGTTCAATATATACCAAGTGGTGAAAAGGGTTTTTGACAGATTCTCTGAGGTGATAGATATGTGGAATCTCACTCTATAATGAAATATCCAAGAAAAAGGATCGAGTCCAAGCGACTCGATGGTCTACTGGGTCTCCTTGTGATCAGAAAGTTCACATTTCGAAACCCTGTGATGGATGCGTGCTGATGAAGAGTTGAAGAGACTAGAGCAAAACAACTGTTCGGAAACTCTCAGCATTTCCAGCAGTACTCTAACTGATGTCAGCTCACAAAAATCCAGTGACCAATCAAATCCCTGCAAACCAACATTAGAAAACGTTTTCTTAAGTGAATGCAGAGTCCCAAAATCTTATGAAGTTATGTACATATACTCAGCTATGAGGCCAACTTATGCCTGTAAATAATCTACAGAAGGTTTCATGGTATTTCAGTATACCTCTTTCGAAATAGTTTCATGTATACTATAAACTGTCTAATTCAACCATAGTGAAGATATTCTGCGAGCATTTTGAGTTTCGAAATGCCCACTCAAAATGCTTAATTTGTTTGCATTCCTTGAGAAAACACAATTAACCATAAATAGTTGTATGATATCAACTGAGAATTACATTCGTCTTCTAAATGCTGTTATTCAGTTATAGTCAAATATCTCTTCGCAGTGTTTCAGCATCATTTTCATCATCGTATTTAAAATATCGTGTAGCATTGTAATTTATACCTATGAGCATGTAAAAGGAGTGGTGTGATTTCTTATCAACTTACGGGTTTCCTCTATTTTTTGTTAAACAAAATACAAAATACAAGAAGGCATGTAAGACTCAGAAAGCATAATAACTCAAACATTTCACATATATTTATCCCAGTTTGCAGTGTTGTACCTTTAGTGGTGAAACGTTGGTTTATTTAACACTTCTAAAATGATGTAGGTCATGAAGTGATAAGTCAAAGGTATTCATCTTGATGACTTTTGTTCGAAGAGAATAACCAAGAATTATGAGATGTTTTATAGAATTGAAATCGTAACATCTAAACAATTTGCAAAGTCTCTTCTTCAGATAGATGTACATCGTAAATAGTGTCTACGATTCAAATCTTTGGGTGACTTTATTCAATACACTAGAATTAGAAATAAGTGAAGACAATGTAGAGGTAGATAGAAAGGCAGATATTACCAGATGAAGTCATTTTTCCATATCTGCTGTCCCGCTGACTGTTATTAACTATTAGGAAAGGTGAAGTACCTCGCTTATATCTCAATAAATTAATGAATTCTTTCTCGAGCTGATATAATAATAAGTTGAAACTATCTGTCTCCTAATAAAATGATTTTCTATGCAAAACATCATAAAATTCAAAAAGAAATTCCATGAATATATAATGAATAATTTAAGGCAGATAAGCAAATCAACTGTTGCGACGAGGACTTACCATAGATCTCTGAATGGCAATGAGCATTTAGGAGTAGATTTGTCATGAAAGCAGTTTGAAATGCATAAAAGATTCATGCACAATTCAAAGCCATCATCCTCTTTAGAATAAACATTGATTAGCTTCAATAAACACTGGCAGAGACTGTAGGATACTACAACCAGTTTCATCAAACTTGGTTTATCTGCTTACTGCCTGATGCTACCCAACAGGAGTGGGCGAACACAAAGTGAATAATTGTAAACATATACTTCTGAAACGGTAGCCGTTTATTTACATAGTGCTTGAACACAAAATAGTGTTACAGCATGTGCAACTTCGTCTTTGTTTGCTGTTTATCCTATCTAGTGACTTACAGAGCTGAGGTATGCATGTTAGGAGCAGAATACCCTGTTCCTTTACGAGCTGACTTAATTATGAATCAAAGAATAGCAAATAAATTTCCACAACAGTTTTATTATTGATTATGGCTTGATTCCACACTGAACGTTTTAGTACAGGTAGGGGATTTTCAGCACGTGATATCGGTAGCCCAAATTTTGCAGGCCAACCATAGATATCAGGTGTGCGTCGGTGCGGGCTCGAACCCCGGACCATGTGCATTGTCGGCGAGAGTCCTAACCGCTGTGCCGCCCACGCTAATCCAACAATCATCTGGTGCGTCGGTGGCACAGTGGTTAGGACTCTCGCCGACAATGCACATGGTCCGGGGTTCGAGCCCGCACCGACGCACACCTGATATCTATGGTCGGCCTGCAAAATTTGGGCTACCGATATCCATGCTGAAAATTCCATACTTGTACCGAAAATACAGTGTGTAATCAAGCTGTAAATCAAAAAAAATAGACGAATACGTAGATATGTATCTGTGGCTATCAATGTGGAGTACGGAGTGTTTATTTGACATCCAGGGCATAATACAGATGTAAGCATCGCTCTTGAGGAGAATCACGGGGTTGCAGAGCCACTAAATTTTTCAGTTTATGTTAATAGATGTTTCATTTCATGTCTTTTAGTTAAAGTTAGACACATATGTGTCTACAGAAGAAAGGAATGTTTAAAAGGAAGGCTGAACGGTAAAATGCAATGTTCATGTAGTTTAGCACTATGACGTCAGTCCCACCACATCTATGTTGAGTGTTTTGAGGGAAAGCCGTAGAGAAATTCTGCAAGCGGACGGCATATACCATGCACTGATCGCTGATTGCTAGACCTATACAAGATCCTGTTAATTCTGGACACAAAAGCGACCAAAAGCATACAGAGCAATATAATCGTAACTTCAAAGGAAAAAAACAAGTGAACGCATACCTTTATCAAGCCCCTTTTTAAAGATATTGTGTAATATGAAACCAAAAGGTGATGAACTACTCAAAACTTACGATAATCTAAATCAACGTGAAGAGAAAAATGATATAATTTTGTAAGTTCAGGGTCAATAAATAACGGTGAAGTATCTAGAAGCAACGCCTCCTCATTATATATACTATGATTCTTTTTATTTGATCAGAAACAAAGCTGAAATCTTGATTCCGAGGATTTCCCTTCTCTGAAATAATTTATTCATCAGCAGGATGTGTGGGTAATAATTCAAATAATTTCAGTTTAGTATCCTTGTCAAAATGGAACATTGAGAAGGAGACAGTGCTGCTACTTATTGAACCACAACTGCATAATGCCTCATCAGTCGGAAAGACCTTAGCAGAAATACATTTTTTATCATTCGTTGTGTTCTCTCAATAATACGATAAGTGCGTGTTATCGACAGAAATGGACACTTTCAAGAATCTGACTGACTGATTGTTAAGCATATAAAGATCTTTAAACAGGAAGATGATTATCTCTGAGACAAGACAAATTGAATGACCTACTCAACAGTTTGAAAACGATGCTTACAGAACCGGTTATCAACCGTTGATACAATCAGAGGGTTCATTCAACAACTTTGTCGTGGTAAGGATTCGCAACTCATCTTGAAGTAATCAATCCAAAGTATTTAATGCAGTTGTGAAAAGGAATAAAATTCACTGCTTTTGTTTTCAAAATTGGTAACCTGCTGTTTGAAGCCACTGAATTCGAAACTAGGTTTTACTGCAGTTGTAATAGTATCACAAGAAAAAAACGTTCTACAGTGTCACTGAGGGCCATCTCAGCAAACGTATGCCACTCTCATGGTGAATTTATTCAATTCTTAAGGAAAAACACAACGTGATTGATGAGGTGTGAAAACGAGTAAAGTTCCTAATGCGAGAATCAATAGGAAGTAGTAATTATGATTGACAGAACAAATTCTGAGATTCCGAAAGAAATCGAATTCTTGAGCATTGCGCTTAGGTTTCACAAATTAAATCATTGAGTTACAACCAAAACGTTATGTTTGTCATTCTCTGACGGAGGAATGATTGGGACTTAAACGGAAGATAAGCTCGATGATTTTGCCACATCTATATGCATTTATCATTTCAACTGCACCTGCGGTGACAGTTATGTTGGGCGTACTACTAGACAGCTTAGTCAACCAACGTGTTAGTGAACATCTCTCATCGCTGTTTGACGAAGGACAGACAAAACAATTCACAGCTCAATTTTGTCTCATTTAGTTTATAGTCGTCTTGTACTAGGAAAACAAGAGCTTTCAAATTATTTCATCGTATCCAACCGAATCTTTTCAATGGCCTTCGTATTTGCCTAGTGCACACAGCTGAGGTGATAAGCATTCGAACTATTAAACGTACACTATGCATTCGACAGAAGTTAGTACGGTCATTATCTCTCCCTTGGCGTGTTAAGACATAACCAACTGATGAATTCTGCACCACCCTTTACTTATATTTTCAACCATCTCTTGTCATCCCTTAATCTTATCACATCTTCCTTAAAGGCGTCTCTCATTTACTTCCCTTACAATCTAGCATTACTTAACCAGGTCATTTGTTTTTTAGCCTATATCGAATAATTCTACCTGAACATTTGTTTGTTGAATCATGCTGTTTTTCATTATTCGTGTTATCGCAGATCGCCTTATTTTTTCATCCTTATTATTGATGAAACCATTATTATTATTATCAATAATACTATTATGACTAATTGCACACTTTGTATTCACCATCTTGTTATCCTATAGACAAAACACTATGATTGGTTCATATTTGAATTTTATTTATGAACCTATATAAATTAGAGTGAAGCCTGATGAGATCTAATTGGAAACAACATTGTTCGCTTAAAAGTGTTGTTCTAAAGCGTTATGTCACATTCATGATATAGCTTGAACTCTAATAGTACAGTAAACGAAAAAATTGAGATTTCTTGCCGCCAATCATTTTCTGTCGAAGTATCACCACTGGGGACTGACGAATATATCAGATAAAGAATTGTCTGTCGTTTTTTCAACTGAGTGGTGTGAACAAAAACGCACAGTAATCCTTTACAGTTCGATTTCATCTGAATACCACTCTTGCATAGTAATTACTGTAGTAGATTTTTAACCTGTTTAGAAGTGAATGCTAATCAATAAGAGTGACAGTACATAATACAGAGATTCACATAAGTCTATGACACCATAATTAGAAGGACCGGTGTAATACTTGTTAAAAAATATACACTTACAGTTTTCTAGAAGAGAAACAACAGACATCATCAAGAATTCAGTTCAATAAAATGTCTTTAGCCGAGTTTTTAGCCCTCAAACTATGACTCTTAGAACTCTGTCCTAAAGGGGATTCATATTTTTACCATGAGTAAACCTGTGATACCTCATGTGACCTAACTGTAAAATAATGGGAATCCATAACGTAGAATGATGGAAAAACCACTTGAATTCGGTACCGAAGTTTTCTGAATGTTGTGTGAAATTCTTTTCCTTTTACGTCCATGAATTTCCAATAATTCAGCAAAAATTCGGTTTCATATTCGCACAGTCATTCGAACTGTGTACAGTCAATCTTGAAATTAATAGAAATTGTAATCCTTTCCTCTTGAATGAATAGCCAACTGCATATAATTTTAACTTTCTAGGGTGAATTTTAAAAGCTCTGTAACATATGCCGTCAGAGTGCATTCAAACGTTTCAAACCAGAACACCAAACAGTACAACTGAGATGTAGTTATAACATTCCAATTTCGAGTGTGTTTATAAGAAATATTTCTTGTGAACTAAAATTTTACAACCGTAGAGGGATGGAAAAAATTCCTCCACCAATATCGTCTAATCTCATTTTGGGATAGAGTGATTAATTGTGAAACAAAAATTATCTAAATATGAACCAATGAATCTCAACTAAGATAATGTGGCACTTTAAAGAAAACTCACCAGCTCTGCCTGTATTCAAGATAATGAAAAATTTGTCATAACATAATAAGAAAGAAGTGGAATAAAACATAGCTGACGTTAACTTGATTGGACACTAGATACTAGAATCCAATGAAAGTATCTAATACAGTAGTCGTACAAGAGGTCACTTGCGAGCTCGAATGGATCAGTGGTAACGTCTCTGGCTGCAGGCAGCGCTGAGTGATGCTGGTTAGAATCTCAAAAGGGACATGAGTGCCTTCAAGGCGGTTGCAGTTACGCCTTTCCGACTGGTGAGTGCCAACTGGTACGAGATCTAGGCTCAAGGCTTCCTGCTGATAACCTCCAACAATCATCAAGTAGGTGACTTTGAAAAGTAGAGGCGTTTACTAAAAACTCTACGACTTAATTGAAATCAGATATGAGACAGTTTCAGGAAAACTGTATCTGACCAACCAACATGAAATCATAAGTTAATATGCATAATACAGAATCTATCTCATGCAGCATAATTTCTTCGGATGAAATCACTTGGTGTAATCATCAACATTTTTGTACAATTCAGGGATGATGTTAAATCATAAGTGGCGTGGATAACTATGTAGGATGCATAGAAGAATCAGTAAAACGCTATCGAAACATCTTGACAGGACAACGAGAAGGGGTAATTCAGCTGACATCTAATTTATTTTGATACATAAAAAGCCCTTGGCTTAGTAATCAGCCCAATGTTATGAGAAATAACTTGTGAATACACAAATTGTGTTCATTTATGAATACGTTTTCAATTCACTGTGTTCGGTCACGATACATTTCATATACGTGAGCCGTTTTGTCACCTTTAGGTACACAGAAAAAGGTGGACACGGAAGACAACTTAGAATGTGTCCTCAAATAAACTTGTTGACTCAGTCCCGCGACAGTCTTCGCTACTAAAAACAGCGAAAAACCATCTTCAAGGTATTTCGAGTCCTACGATTTAATTTGCTGTTGCAGACAACTTATAGTTTATTCTAACGTAAAGATAAATTTTGTATTTACACATAGGCATGCGCTGTTTGACGAAAACATTTATCGGTTAAGTTTTCACAGCGTTTTGCATAAGTGCATCACATGATTCAGATGAATCACATCTTCCTTATGTTATATCAAATTCATCAACTGAACGAGTCCATTCAGGCATCTACATGTAACAGTCAAATTAAGAAATGGTGTTAAAGAGTTCATCGTAAGGACGTATTTCAATAATTACTGGCGGTAGTGAAAACGAGAAATGATGTGAGCCATCATTTTCAGCGTATTTCACTAGATGACACTCTGACTATGTTCTTCAAATTAACATTGAAAATACAGCAGATCACTGTGTGTTTAAAAGATTTTCATTGTTGTGTTTCTTAAAGTGACATACACTACGTGCGTTTGAGCTACAAATAGTTATAGCGGTTACGCAGCGTATTTCGTATTATGCAACCATTTCAAATGGCGGTCATATTCAAGAATGATATTTCGACAGAACCTCCTAAGGGCCAATGACTGCTGGACAAAAATTATTGCATTATGTATGTTTCAGTTCAGTATACTCTTTCACTGTCAATTAACAGGATTATTGAATTGTCACTGAACCAATATAAAATCAAGTTTTATTAGTTTATATATTATATAGAAGAGAAAGAGACTTACGATATTCATCTTTAGATGAAAAACAATAAACAACATATTTGAAGACATTAAATTTAAAGGAGAAGAAGAATTAGGTAACGAAATTGCATTCTTAGATGTTGTAATCAAGGAAGCTAACACGGAAGATTTAGAAATGGAAGCATGTAGAAAACCAACGGACACAGACCAAATACTCCACTATAAAATGCAATAATCCAATACAACACAATAGAAAATTGTTTAAATGACTTCAGTGCTGGAGAAAACAGAAGATAAATATCCACCTACTGTCTTCAATAGGAATGAGCAGTCGTGTAACTTTATCAAAACCTGTTTCAACTCAAATTGGAGTATCAACAAGAAACCACAATCAAAGATCGCAGAAAAAATTCATTTTGCCGTATGCACAAAGACTATGCATGAATTAATGGCTAGAATACTAGAACCAGTTGAAAAATATAAAGCACACAAGCCAGCACAATCACTCCATTGAAACTTTGCAAACCGAAGGATCCGAAACCAAAAGAATGTTAGATCGATATTATTTAGAAGACAAACTGAATATCCTGGAATAAATACTACTTTAGTCAAATTGGATGTTTCCGTAAAGCCAGAATCATAAAACATAAATTAGCCGTGTAGAGATTCGATATGCCTTTTTTCATATCAGTGCGTGTAGACAATCACGGACAGCAATTTGGCTGGATGAATGTGACATCTAAACTGATGTTTTTCTTCCAGTAATAAAGAATGAACTTCGGTGAAATATTTTATCCACTTTCCATACAGATTTTTTGAAAATTTTATGCCGCTTGACGCAGATAGTAAATTATCTTTTTAGGTGAAGGAAATAGTAAGCATGCAACAACTGGAAATTGATGCAAAACAATTTATAGTTTAGTATTAAATTTGAAGTAGTTCATGTGCGTTACATTGGCTTTAATATTTTTGTTTTACTAGATCATAACTTTCAGCATCTTTCTGCGAGCCGTGTTTAAAATAACTTCTGTTTGTTTTGAATGATTTCCTGTAAAAATCAAAGCTTCACAAAGTTAACCTCTGAAATTTATTCTCACTGCTAATTTATAGCTAAAATCGATATAGACTTCAAGGTGTTTAACTGGAAAGTCTTAATTGACAGGTGTAGTGACTGATACACAGATCGCATTGTTGCTAAAATGCGGACCGACAAGGAAATTACTGTTAGGTATTTGAACGAAGTCATCAGGGTGTCCTTAAATTATGTTTTGATTTCGAAATGGGTAATTAGGGTTTCGATTGTAGTCCCTCAAGAAGTTTTTTTGTAAAACTGAATAGTTCAGTAATAATGTCTCTGACTGCACCATTGAGTAGCGAGTTAGAATATTCAGGGAATTCTAATTTGTTTGGAGTTAACAGATGCGCATTGTCAACAATTGTTAGTCTGGATGTCACGTCAGATACTCGCCAAAGATATCAGTTAGTTGATACTGGTATTAAAGCCTATGCTGACGTAATTTAAAGTCATTGTTGAATATTTTGAGTAAATTGGCGAGGAATCCTGAAAAAAATTATTTCGTGCCAGCAAGCAATCGTCAGTGTAGCTAATGTTTGACCACCAACCAACGTATCCAAGGTAGTCCATTAGTAGGCCAATGGTGGGGCTAAATAGCTTACTCACGATGTGTCTGACTATAACACTGACTGATACATGTTCTGACTTTCAGGTAGAACCAAATGCTCGGAATAAACATACAGACTTTGCTAACAAACCTTTGTAATGAAGACACGTAGGTTGAGTCCATCAGGTTAAATAAGAATGAAACGTCTGTCTTTCGCTCGCTGGTTTAAACTAGCTCTGTAAATGATATCGGGTCATGTTAAAATTTACTATGAAAGCAGTAAAATCTCCTCAAACTTGTCACTTCAATATTTGCAATTTGGATACTGAATACAAGTTATTAATTCGGCTGAAACAGTCTTCTTGGGTTTCAGTAATCAGAGGCGCACTTCTGCGAAGTATATCACACCTGGGTTACCCTTCTGTGCATCTACATATTGCATCTAATACATCATGTTTTCATTCTTAATTCTAACAAAATATGATCACAAATCGTATCAAATACAGTAATGCATTCATTAAACGTTTCAAACCATATGACTTTCATGCATCTAATAAAACTAATAGAAAACATCATGGTGGTTGGCAACGTGCTCTTAAACAGACACCTTTATATCGCACAATTATCCCTGTTATTGTCATTTCAAACTGCCGTTCACTTCCCATATGCGTTTGTTTATATCAAAGCGTGTGGACAATCACGGACAGCAATTTGACTGGATCAATGTACACATTTTGAAAAGAGGAAAGACCAAAAGTGCCACAGAAATTCTAGGAGCCTGGTACTCAGACAAACCAGCGATTAAGAAACACGTTACTGTAGACCACATTTGTCAGTTATAAAGAATAAGCTCCACATGACAAGATAGACCAAATCTCAAGTCAATAAAATGATCAACAGAGATGTAGGTTAACAACCAGCCACGACAATGGTTGTCAAGAGATACAACTATATCATCATTAATCGAGAATTCAAATAAGTTCATTTCATACTGGAAGGACAAGGAAAACTTCGCGGTTGGATCGACCATCTCAGAACACACAATCTAATCAAAGACATATAACTTAATGAGCTTGTGCATAAACGTAAATATATATATATAAGGACAAGAGGAGATAAGTTCGGCCGTGCTTTTTACAAATGTTGTTACGATTGCGCCTAAAAATACTACCATTGTACACCAGTTAGCGTACATCCAAAGAAAGGCTCTGGTAATGAACTCCGTTTTTGGTTTCCATTTGAAACTTAGGATTAAAACAATCAGTCAACATAGAACATAATTTTCATGGTTGTTATTAGGGCTAAAAGCCAACATTTTCGATACTTACTAGCTAACTCTAACATTTGAAAATCATTGAAAGCAAAAAATCCACAAATTACGAGCATCACCATTATCTAGCAAAGTCATGTTTTAAAACAAGCGCATAGTAGAATTTTAAACTTGAGGCATATAGAATTAGCGGATGATCTAAGGGGTAAAATGAAGACTCATGGATGACTCTCCACGTGTTTTTATACATTCACTGTGATAACCTATCAATGTTATGCCTCATCTCATTTACTTTGACAAATCTGAAGTATAGTGGAAAGAAACCAATTCCTAAATTACAATTACCCAGGACTCATTGGCTCAAGGTCTTCTAATAAATGATCACCAGTCATTTTCGAAGCATTTCATATTTTTGACTCTGTGTCATAAAGTGGCATTCATCATTTCCAAAATTTTCAATATATTTTTGACTGATTATTACTATACTTCTTTAACCTAACAATTCAACATTAAAAATGCTCGTTAGATCGTCCGAACAGGAAATTTATATGCGTATACTGTGCGGAATGTGTGTATTTCACAAGTGAATTTAGTCAATAACACAACTACCCTTTTTATCATGTACCACTGTATATATCCACTCAGTTAAATGGATTATAGTTATTGTCTTCAGTGAACGCGCATTTTTGAGACAAATTGACCGATTTGGTGGTCATCGCATTTAAACTTAAATTTATTGAGTTGCCATGTATTTCAAAGGCTCTCACTTTATAATTACCCGCATACTGCCTGTCTCACTTGCCAAGGTGTTAAATGCGCCTTGCTAAGCTATCTCTGAAGCTTATGCGAAGAGAAGTGAATATATCTGTATTAAATGAAAGTCTTACCGTTCAATTCTAAAGAATCATTGAGAATATTGAATTAATAATCTAAACAGTATTTTTATTCGAAAGTATATTCAATAAAGATATATAGAAATTGAATTACGAATGGCTTGCTAAAACATAACACCTCATTGTTTATATTTGATCCAATCGTCACTAGTCATAACTCTGCTCTACAGACATTGCCAAGTGTATCTACTAACATCAGGTCATCTTTATCTCGCTACTGAACACTAGTCTCTTGAGTACGTATTCAAATTACTGGAATCAACACAGCTTTCATAATGTTCAAATATTGTCATTGTCTCCTGAACTACCACCTAAACCTCAGACACGAACATGACTAAATTTCCGCAAGGAAAATCTTGATATATATGTGCTTCATATTTACTTTATGATGATACGGTGTACACCTTTCTCAGGCAATATATTTAAACAGATATCTACTCTCGAAATTTAATCCTCAGTGTACTATGACGTAAATATCCTGCTTGAAATCGTTTGGAATATGAAACCTTTTCACATTTGAAATAAGCATACTACTGTAATTATCGTAATGCTGAATCTTTGGCTAAATTATAAAATTCGTCATCATAGGTCATCATAAGTGAAACAATTCAAACGTCTGTATATTATTCGGTTTTTCAATAGACTTTCATGAGGTGAAACGTTAGCACCACGCAAGAGTTCAACATTATTTTGATGTTATTTTGATGAACACTGTAATTTGAGTAAAGAAAGCGTGAACATTTAATACGAGTGCATTTTATTTTTTTGAGTTGTCTTAAACTGCCTACTTCCTGAATAAAATCAATTATCAGTCACAAAAGGCTATCTAAACATACTTTTTACGATGACTGCGAGTTAAAGATAGAAAGTGTAGGGGTCTATTCGATTTTCAGAGCATATCGCTAAAAGTCTCCTTTGGAAAGTGACCAAGTGTTTTCAAATGCAACTGCTAAACCCTTAATTGGTACGGGACATACAATGAAAACTAGACAGGATTTCAAAATAATCACTTCACAGAAAAAACCATGGTTACTTTGGTTCTCAGAAGCCACTGCTCAATACAGAAAGAGAGTGTGGCTAATGTCTCACTACATTGGTAACGGTGAGTGTTTTGCTCAAATGCTTTTGTGTTTTGTTCAGTTGCATAACACTCCACATTTTGACTTTCATTTCCTGAGTAGAACTCATTATTAAGCTTCTAAATATACTAAACTATTTTGTCTATCTTATAATTATACTTTACTATTCACTTCAAATCGTGTCTGAACTCTCCATGATAATATGCATAAAGTAACTTGTATTTTGTCTCTAGTTCATACATATTTCCAAGTGAAATCTGAACTCTATTACACTCTGGTCTAATTGTACTACAAACACTTACTCGTTTAACACTGAATGATTCGTCTAATTATATCATGTTTGGAGTTATGTTGCCTATACTTTCTATGCATAACTGAGAGAAACGTATGTTCAGACAGCATTCAGTAACTTATAATTGATTTTGTCGTTTAGGCTGTATCCAGTTCAAGTGAATCCACGAAAAATAAGAAGGCTGTATTATCCTGCAAATATGTGTCCTGTATTCAAACAAATAAAGAGAACCGGCTGCATGAAATACATATACTACTACTACTTAAATTTGGGATCATTATAAGCACTAATGAAAAGAAACATTTTGCTTTGAGCTTACTTGTCTTATTGAGTGCTGTAGAAATTAAAATGTTTCACTGTAAGTAATTGCATCGATACTTCACCTCGATTTCAAACTACATCGCATGAATCCCATAATGGATAAAAATATTTTCTATTTTGATGAAGTTTCACAGGATTACGTAATAATATGACCTCGTCTCGACCACAATTTATTGCCATTCATAGTCGTATCAAAACAATACTCATGCAACCTTCTAACTTCGTTTATATAATTTCATTATTTTTTCATTAATTGCTTTTATTGTCAGTAATATTTTTCACATCTCTGGTATTGTTGAAGAGTCAGTCCTATTGCATGTGTTGAGTGTAGACTATCTGATGAACAAGGACTCAGTAATCAGATTCCCTGTCAATCCACCTGCATTACTTTTGAGAATTTCGCCTCTGTCCCATATTACTGTTTAGTTGTCTGTTAATACATGGAGTACATTGCTGAGTTTTTATCGAAATAGCTTATCTTGGCTGGGTAAATTATTCTAACCTTAGCTAAATTCTTATATTTTTCAAGTATTGGTTTTTATAGGAATTTAGTTTGATTGGTTGGAGGTTTTTCAATGGTCCTCTAACTGATTTCAGCTCATGATGAATTCCTCCAACAAATGCTTATGTCTTAACAATCTAACTACCCACTCTATGCTGGTTTGACCTATGTAGTTAACTTAACTTACAAGGTACTTTTTAAATTATATTGTTTTCTCTAACTGGGTGAACCTTCAGTGTCTTTAAATCTACCGAACGTGTCCCTGAGTGAGTTTGTAGGTTCAAAATGCCACCCGAATTCCTGCTTTACTAAAAATCCTACACTTAAAGCCTAAGGTCTCCCTTTCCTTATATTGTAGAACTGTAGATGATTTATGTCCCTTCCTGTTTCTGTTATAATTGTTAGTTCGCCAATATTTTATTTCTGACTTTTTCTGATCTTCCTAGTGAATTTTTCGGGATAGTTATTCGACACCAGGTAATGCAGGTAGAAGGACAGGCACTACTGAATCCTTGTCCGTCGAATAGTCTACAACTAGCACACGCAATAGGAATTTCTCATCACCTGTACCAGAGATATGAAAAATATTACTACTGATCAAATCAAGAGGTTAAAAATAATGGAATTATATACAGGAAGTTAGAAAGTTATATGAGCAGTGTCGTGATATGATTATGAGTGGTAATAAATTGCATTCGAAACGTGGTCATCAGTAAATATTCCTGTAAAATATTTTTAGACTTATCCATAATGGATTTATACTGTACTACAGTTCCCTAGTTCTATTCCAATAGTTCATATGAAATTATTCTTAAACAATGAAAATACAAATAACTACGCATAACAAGTTCAGAGAACTCCAATTTAGTTTAGTCTGTTAAAAGGTTTGATAATCAGGATTCCCTATCACATTTCACTTGGTCTATGTAATGTCAATCTACTGGCTCATTGTAAATATAAATAATATTCATTAGACTACATATTTTAAATCACCCTTGCATGACAGCTTCCCTACGGAAATGGTTGAACAACAGAATGCCAGCCAATCACCCACGTGATTTGTGTTTCTTTCCTGACCGATGCACTTTCAAACCTTATCCAGTTTTATGAATGCTAGTAAGTCCTGAAAAGAAGTATTATCGGTCTGTTGAAAAATGCAACACCTCCCTCCATTTCTGAGATTCAAAGTTAGAACCCAATTTTTCATTCAGTATCTGAAAGTGATTCATGAGATACTTTGCGTATGTGTTTCTGTGGTTTTATAAGTCCAAGAAGATTGTTTTTCATGATGATTGACGATTTTCGACAGCTACATGCATTTGAAATGTTGAAGTGTTAGGTTTTTGAAGTGAGGATCGGTTTCAAAGCTGTTTTCGGCCCGACCGGATATCAATCACACAACTATTTGGTGTCCATGGGGAAGGACAGCAGTTTGCTTGTATTTTACCAGGTAGTTGTGAACCTATGTTTTTAATACAGCCAGAACAACAGTTTATCCAGAATAAAATGATTCTCAGTGTTGTCTGTGAACTCCATGGACATGATGCCCTGCTAAATATTTAGATCCTTGTCACTCACTGCTGTACATTAAATCTCAGCCATTCATTCTGGAATCCAGTTTCCTGTAGGACTACAATGGGCAAACTAGTAAGCCGTTACCTTTGATAACGAATAACTACACAAGCCCGTGAATTACTCTTATGACTTGTTGTCGATCTCACTCAATCACCCAACATCGATTCTATTTTACAATAATCTGACGCATTTCTCCAGTGCTAATTAAGTGATTTGACGAGTATCACTCACCATACTCGATCCGTTAAATAACTTCTGTCAAACATCCTCTTCAGAACTTAGCGACTCACAGTAGCGTCGGTGGCACAGTGGTTAGGACTCTCGCCGTCCATGTACACTGTCCGAGGTTCCATGCCCTACCGATGCACACCTGATATCTATGGTCGGCCTGCAAAATTTGGGCTACCGATATCGATGCTAAAAATTCCATACATGTACCAAAAATACAGTGTGGAATCAAGCTACAATCAAAAATAAATAATAAAATTGTTTTCAGGGCTTATTTTCGTGAATAGATGATTGCATTTGGAGAGAATTTCGTCACGAAGTTAATCAGAGAGATAGATTCTGAGTTCTTGTAAAAATAAACTGAGCATCACTTGCAAATGGGATGTTGGAGTTGCTGTGGTCGCAGACTGAAACGTGAAACTAGGTGAGATTATCACGCACTTTCAGAATTCAATTTTAAAATATAACAGGTAATAATAATAGGTGGTTTTTTCAATAATTTTCAAGACTTACGTTCTTCTTTACCTACAAAAAGTTAAATTTTGACAACTTTTTTTAGTTTATAGATGCAGTATTATTTCATTATGAATATGGATAAAAAACGGTCAAAACATTTTCTATTGTAATTTATCATTGCTGAAATTGAAGGCTCTTTTACAGAGTGAACGCAAAAATTACGAAATGGTAGATATAAACATCATAACTACAGAATAAAATTTCGAATACTGCTAGTTGTTTTAAGCAGAGAAATCGAAAACATCTTAACTATGCCCCCGAAACTAATATATGAAATTACTTATTCATAAACCCTGTATGAACGTAGTCCTTTGCAGTTGTTGGTGTTTATTATTTTACGTTCCCAGTGGAATATAGGGATTCAACCTACAGGCCTGAAGTTTCTGTGACAATGGGGGTTATTTTTACAGGATGGAGTTGCCAGCCTCATGCTCAACCTTCCCATTTTATTAGTCTTACTACTGGCATAGCGAAGTAAACGAGTGCGTCGATCGGGGATCGAACCCCGGACCACCTACGTGGTCGGCAAGTACTGTAACGCTGTGCCACCGACTCAATGTCCTTTGCGGTGACTGTTAGTAAATCCGTTGGTTCATCAACATGTTACTGTTGGATTGCGCAATCTCAGTCACTATTCTCTTACTACTTTTATGTCAGTATGAATGCAATACTTTCTGGTCTCTCACATGCAAAGGTTGTATATGTATATGTATATGAATATACAAGTAGAGTAAGCCTAAGTTTAGTGTATTCGGTCAAACCCAATAGAAAATGTCCTGATTAGTAATACCAAATTATCGTCTATAACTCTTACGGGGAAAATTAACCTCTTTTTACTAATCAATCATGTACACACAATGGATAACACTTTAACACCATGGTAATAACTGGGTTTTATACTACCGCCGTTTAAACATAAATATACCATGTCATCAGACATGGTTCTGTATTTCATCGAAAATATAGTAATTCTTGTGCGCTATAATTGTGATATAGCTTCTCTTAATTTCTGCTCAGCTTATCTCATCTAATAGATCCGATTAGAATTCTTGGAAGAATTGCATTATATTGCATTATTAATAAAAAAAGTGGTTTTATAATATGATGATGACATTTACACAGAAGTTTGTTTCACAAAGCACGTCGTCAAGGATCTTTTTAAAAATCATATTACGATGGTAATAAACACCAAGAATCCAAACATCTCTCCTTTATGTCACATTTCTTTTCTATCTGTGTGAATGGTATATCCATAGATTTGAATCATAATGTGTTTTACAGTCAGGAAGGAAGTGCATGGAAATTAACCAAAATCTACGTACGCACTTCTTGAGGATGGTAAGTTCATAAGGATATTCGATAAAGCAAACTGTTGGAGATAGAAAAATTCCTTCGAGCAGAGGTAAATTGGAATCTCTCTCATTAATGTTCAACCGCCAACCTAAAAAATTGTCTTTCATCTGAAAATCCAGAAAGCACACCCAAGACTTCATAAAATCTCATTTTATTGTGAACTAACAGCAATTTGAAAACTATTCACTGCTTTCAAACATTGAGAATGGCCGTGAGAAAGCACATTTAACCCTTGAATCTATTTTTAACTTATGAATTCTTCCAAAATTAATAACTTAAAAATAGTTATTCAAGACAAAAGTCCTTCACTCCGGTAGGAAAGCAACAGGATAATACAATAATAAATACAAGAAGATAATAGGTAATGAATTGAAACTTTGATAGTTCTGTCACTCAAACCTGTTGTTCAAACAAGGTCTATTATATACCTGATAAACTGCACTGTTTAAACAAAAGCAATGAAATGAACTCACATGCAAGCAATTGCACCAATACTGTGTAGAAATGTTTACAATAACCGTCAATGTATAAACACTTTAAATAATAATCTTGATAAAAATCAAGTCTATAAATATCTTGAGTAAAACCCATGCATAAAATATTCATCAGGATTACTGTTACCTTATTCAGCACTATTACTTACGTCTTCGATATTCTGGTATGGCTATTAAATATATGAAAAGTGGGGAGAATAAAAAAAACAGGGCTCAAAATGTATTTCGTGAAATCATATCAGTTTCTGCTTTTTCTATGGTATCACCTTTACATAACTGAAAAAACTTATTGCTGCTATTTACATGAATTTTCGTAAGTTCATTTGCTGTATGGTTCACCGATCATCAGACTCTCGGTGTAGATGATAAGTGTCTGAAAAAATCAATGTGCACAGAAATTTTATTTAAATGTATTTGCTTGTACAGACGACGATGGAATACGAATATCTCTTAAATAAACCTTGGTTACTTGAAAGTCACTTGTAAAACTGATATTATGCGCACTCACGAAAAGCCTTCAATGAATCCCTGAGTTGGAAACTAATGAATTACAGCTGTATAGGCTCATAATCATTAACTGAGTGCCCTGTTTAAATGGAAGCCTATACAGTTGACAGGGACGGATACGTTTTCTGTGCCTTGAAAAGTGTACATCCTTGTTGGATTGTATCTCCCCTGAATTTTTCACTTCTCCTTTTTAACAATGGCAGTCGAGAAAACGATTAGTTCTTTATCAGACCTGTCGCTTTCAATTAAGCAATCTTACGGTCATATTTATGAGTTCAGGAATAATTAAACTACTACACTCAAGGACATAATGCAAACAGCCTGCTTGTACGAATTTAAACATGTTTTCTTGCATGATTTCCTTCACTTTTGCGTATTACTCCACCAAAAGAGTTCACAACAAGTATATTAAATTAGTTTTTCTTCATATTTCTGTTGATAGTATTAAGCATGTGTTTGAATCAGAGGAGCAATAGTTATAAATACCACCGAATTCATCTATAAAGAGTGTAAACGTTTGGCACTTACTATAAGTAGCTGAAAGTGGAATCGAAATTTTGACAATTGATATATATATTTACATATATATTGTACTTTATTTGTGTATGTAGGATTTATTTAGTAAAATATATGATTAGACAGTGCATTGTTTATCTCAAATTTTCGTTTGAAACAAATGTAATATTCTAGTTGTACATTAAGTAATTAATCCTCATTGAGACATAAAAATAAAGAATTCAGTGGGGAAAATTCTCATTTCGACGATTTCATTTTCAGACCTATACAGCAGTATATTTATGTGAATTACAAAAGACAGTAACGGTCATTTTCATTGGTTTCAAATTTCTATGCCTGATATTTTATTATATAGTTGTATGAAGCCTGACGAGAATTCTCCGTAAATGCGTATATGCTTGCTTAAAAATATCTAATTGCAGAAATATATGATAGGTATCAAATCATACTCACTGACTAAGTTGCAGTGTGGAGTGAAGTGGTAGATCACGTTGACCGCCTCACTTATTTAGGAAGTACCATCAGCCCCAACGGGTAGATCTCTGACGAAATCTCAGCACAGATACAGAACGTGCGATATCTGGATAACAAACAAAGGGCGTGTTTACTGCTCAGCAGTTACTTCGCTCCCTCCTCCTCTTTCGCTGTTAACGAGACATGGCCTTGTGAAATGGTAAAACAGAGCGAGTAATATTAAGATTATGTGTCAAGTGAGTGCTAAGTAAGGAGGGGAAATGAATCGACAAGGCTATGAAGCTACATCGACTGAGATGATTAGGATATGTGTTACATACGCCTTCCTCGACAATGGGCAGTGTTAGCTGATAGAGTATCATCCTGGAAAAGAGCTAGCGCTGGTCAAACCAAAACGTAGTATCAGCCAACAAAATTCACAACAGTTGGTTTAATCCAGCTGGTCACGTAGGAAGTTGTAGGCTGGTTTCATGGTTGAGGTCCTCGGGACTATAAAAACCGATGGCTGGAGACAATCGGTGATATGGCTCAAAATTGTTCTCAATAGATGACGCAGATGCATCCACTCTCTGTGACTTAAAATTTCCAATGAAACCATATTATTCTATATTACTATTGTTTTTTGCCTCATATCTCTGTTTACTGTCTCTATTTTGAATTTCTTTTTACTATCTTCTCTTGCTATGTGTTCTACATGGAGTATGGTGACTTGAACTGGTGCAAAGTTCTTTGTCGAAAACAAATAGACAGACAGACAGACTGTTCCACAGAAGTTATAGGAATTTCAGCTTTATTCTCTGATGGTGGTATTTCATGGGTAATAGTTTTTCCCATCTTTCACTTAACACAATTTGATAGTATTATTTAGTGTTTCTCAGTCAGTGGTGAGAATACTTTTCGACGGGTGATAAAGTACTCCTCGTTCTATCAAAGATTTCCACGCACGCATAAACACGTTGGCACAAGATGCAATCAACAGATGGAGAGAATCAACTCACACTCCACTAACAATTCAATCCAACGATAAGGATATCCATGATTGATTTACATTCTCTTAATTTTATCAACCACATAAGTGAGTTTAAGTGAGATATCAACACTTTATGAAGTGTCTTCACAAAGTCAGTCACAAATGTGAATGTATATATTAAGCCAATGGAATAAATGAATACATTCCAGTGAATAGATATTTGGAAAAATCAATAAAAAATGTATCACTAAGATAAATTTGTAACTCACGACGTTTGCTTTCGCATACTATAAAAACAGAAAGAATGACGGCGATTAGAAATATTGGCTTCATCTTTCGTGTGTAGTGAAATTTACTTTCATATGATCGCTTATTTGATACCCCTATTTATATATCTTTGTGCATTTCTGCTTTGTGTATTTGATTATGTAATAATAGGCAGTACCCTGTTTTCGACCCCCCCCCCACACACACACACACTTAATCTATTTATTTACTCTCGAGTTAAGGTGGTCTGATCGAATGAAGTGGTGCACTTGCTGTATGAGTAAATATTTATCGAAACAACAATGTTTGCTTTATTCTCTGAGTTTCATATTCTTTTTTCTAAATCATACAATTTACTAAGATTAATTTTAGACAATCAGTGCCTTAAGATACATACATTAAAAATAGCACAATTATTGTTTCATGAACCTTTAAAATTAAAAATTATTATCTACTTTTAGCATAAACTGGTTTCATTACCGAAATTCGCGAAAGAAAGTACTGCGTACTATTCATTGACTGAGATAGGTATTTGCATATCATGCTACTGACATCGACTAGCTGGGTTTGCTAGTCAAATCGAATTGACCTAAACAAACACCGGTCGGCCATTTCGTTCCTTCAGAGCGAGAAACCAGTCAGTTGAAATTACCCAATTTCTGGGTAGTTAATTTGGCTAACTGGTATTGCCATAAATCAAGTTTTACTCCCCCTCTCGAACTGTGTATATTGTGGATTGCTAACTTACTTGACAAATTTGTGATGGGTTTTCAAACGTATAACTCATTGCTGCGTCACTAATCTCGACAACAACTCCCCTCTGAATTGAATAGGGAGGATTTCGACAACTCTCTCAAAGCATATGATATTTTTTAAGATCTCAGTGATTATTCATTGCTGAGTTGATCTGTAAGGATTATATTTGTTTATCCGAGTTTGATCGCGGATCAATATCAGTTTGAGAACCTTTGAAAACCAGTCAGGAAGTATTGGACAGATGTTTCATCCTAGTTTAAGGATCATCGGGAGTACGTTCCCACCACAAGAGGTTAGAAGCCAGAACATTCCAGTTACAAGAGAAGCTCGTATAGCACTGGCACCCGATTCAAAGGTCAGCCCATGAATTTTAACTTCCATCAATCCGTTATTTCTCGCGACCACCAAACGATGTCATCGGCGGGAACTCCATCCTCACACTTGACTGCATGGACCTCACTGGTCACGATTTCTAGCTATAACTCCAGGAAACTCCATCCTGTAGCAAGTCACTAGAGAGCATCAGATTAATTTTCAAGGGTTGATTTGTCCGAGGTACGTTTATTTTTCAAGTTGATCAGGGATTGTTATCAGCTGGAGCACCAATTAGGTGTCAGTGCTCTCAGTTATTTAAGAATATTTGGTATTTTCCACACATTATAGTTCTCAGAAACTTTAACTTAGTTTGTTAATAACTGACAGTAATCTATGTTTTATGTTGTCGGATAATCTGCTATTAATGTACTTTCAGGAAAACCATGATTTCGGAAGTCCCTTCTGTATGGTTAAATGTGTATGCTTATCCAGACACCGCAACTGACTTTCTGATTATTATCCGATTTTATCCAGAAATGTATAACACTATTTTGACATTTACATATCACATGTTGATTTGATCCCTGTTATTTATCGTTGTCCTTGTTTAATGTATAACTTCAATGCATCTCTTCATGATTCTGTGTAAAGTGACGTGCTGAACAATGTGACTTAGCTTGAGTGAACCAGTGTCATTACTGGACATGAACTGTACAGGAGAAGCGTTAATGTTTATATCTTGTAGACGGCGTTACGAATATTTTACTTGATTCTAAGTTGTCGTGTTGTACTTTTTCTAGAGGTTACTTTGAATTCTTGATGTTATTATTGTTTAACAGAAGTGCAAAGTTACTCCAGAATAATCATCTTTTTCCCGTCCTTGAAGCGTTTCGTGGTTGGACGTGTCTCAAGAAATTTTGTCAGCCATACAAAAAAAGCAGAGATAGGTTTCCTACTTTCAGATAAAAACGAGCCGAGTTTTGACGTTAAATATATGTCTCTAAATAATTGTACATTTTAAAAGAGACGCTAAATAAAGGAGCCTCCTTACTGACCCATGTGTTCTTAAATAAAAAGTTTATTCACGCAGTAGCACAACAGTACAAATTGATATAGCTTGTTTCGTTGAATAATAGTAGCATTGAGTTAACAATTTTGGCAGCAAGCCCTAAATGCTATTTCAATTTCACATAACATAATGGGTACATATAAGTTTAACAAAGTTTCACAGCGTTTTTGAGCGAATTAACTTCTCCATCATATTAAGTTGATACGATTATGAGCAATAGATTGTGCTCGAAACGTCATCAGTTAATATTACTGTATAATACTATGTGATTTATCAAAATAAAATCTTATCCAAAATGGAGTTATACTCTACCACAGTGCCAAGTTGTATACTCATATCAATAACCTACTGAAAATCCCACTTAGCACATCATCAGATTTATACGTTTTATTGAGTTCTATTAAATGCTCGAAATTTTAAAAACACCTAAACTTCGCTTTTTTCCATCAGCTGCAAATCGCACAGAAATCACACAAACAGCCCTCACAGAATTGCCAGCACACACTGATTCTCAAACTGAAGCTGAAATTCAGAATAAGATAAGGCCAATAAAGTTCAATCTGGAAGTCGATAGAACCCTCAGAATTCACTCCGAAGCACAGAAAACGAACCACAGACTGCAGCAGGTATACTGACGCCATTATTGCACAAGATTCCGGCTGGAAGGAAAGATGCCCTAAAATTGAAAGAAAGGCTGAACACTTTTTCAAGCTGCCAAAGAAAGGAGACTTAGGCCTCTGCAAGAACTGACGTGGAATAATGATCTTATTCGCGCCAAGTAAAGTACTAAGTCATGTCACCTGGAGAGAAATAAAGATGCACTGCATTAAGAACTTCACCTCACCGGAACAAGCTGGATTCAGGAAAGGCAAATCACGTGCTGATCAAATTACATCTATACCCGTCAACATCGCAGAATATAGCATAGAATGACAGTTAAACCTCTACCTCAAATTCATTGGCGTCGGAAGAGCCTTCGACGAAATCCGCTGATACAGAAGTAATTTGAAAACTGCTTCATCCCTATGACTTGCAGTGCCCAAATCTTTATAAAAGTCATTCAACAGCTGGCTATATGACAGTGCCCCATGAAAGATGATCCACAATGACAAACTCAGCGAGGAGTTCGAAGTTAATACAGGAGTAAGACAAGGCTGTCTATCTACTATACCTATGATATTAGAAACAGTGTTCAACTGGACTATGAGCCACACTGTGCCTGGTAGCGAGAGGCCAGGGATACGTCAGACTGACAGACAAGAAGACTCTAGAAGATTTGGCTTTATTGGATGGCTTATGTTGAACGCCAAACAAACTTGAAGAATTCCAGAAGAAAAAGAACAAACAGGCAGAAGAGGTGGGCAACGAAGGCGGGACTCTGAATGAACATAGAGATGATGGAGGTGGTGAAGATAACCAACTAACAACAGACAACACCAGTCACCATCAAAGGGAGGGATTGAAGGAGGATACTTCCTTCACTTATCCATGTAGCGTTGTTTCAAACACGGGCGACAGTATGGATGCAGATGCTGAAACCCAGGATCTCAGAGACAGGATGCACTTTCATCAAACTGAAATGAGTTTGCAAATCTCCTTCACCTATCCTAAGCATGAACAACAACATTCGAATTTTCAACACCAATCTCAAGTCAGTCGATTCTTCCATATTGGTGAGAAACCTACACTGAGCATCACTAAAAGCAATTCCAACAGGCTACTATACAGTTTTGTCAACAGCTGACCACATCAGGCAATACACGAGGACAAATGACAGGTGAGAAGCAATCAGCAACAAGTAAATATGGTAAAAAAAACTAACCAGGAACCTATTGTTTAACAATTATTCAGTAGGATATGGATAAGGATCGCTAACATTCTAAGGAGACCGTCAGGATACATTTACCTAAAGACACGACATACCTCTAGTGTAATCCCAATGGGAAGCGACGAATTGGTTGTCAGTGTGCGAAGGTGACATGGAATATATCATGTAACGAGGAGGAAATGAGAAATTTTAGGCAATCATGAACCTAGCTAAAAAAGATATTAAAATCTAGCAGGGTGAAAATGTCTTGGCCTTGGCTGTCGACAAGGATGTGGAGAAGACTGTTGGGAGATTAGTAAATATACGTTTTTGATAAAGTTAAACATTTTTTTGTTGAGACAGTCAGTTCTGCTAAAAAGGTCAGACATTTGCAATTTGAACCACGGAAAGCATCTCCAAAAGTCTTCTACACACCTTCACCAACACCTTTCCCCTTGTTGTATATCGAAGCTCAAATTGCTGGTAAGAATGAATCAGCAACAAGGAACTATGGGAACCGACGAAACAAACACTTATCTTTTATTAGGCATTTAGAAATAAAATGGATTTGGAGGTGTGTTTTTGAAGCCCAATATTCCACTTAGAATCCACGACAACAATAATATTAATAATTTACTAATTCTATGATCTTTCTTCCATTTCTTAATTCTAAAGATGACACAACATCGCAGATTTAGATATAATCAAATCAGCACTCCATGAAATCGGATAATGCGTGAGAAGATTATGAAATACACATCTCCTATGAATTTACCCAGTCTCTTCAGCTTTACCTTACTTCTATAATACAATTATTTTACAAACACTACAAACCATCCATCACAGTCGCCCATCAAGTACTCGCGAGAGGTTTCACATGTCTATTTACTACTGAGACAAATTTCATTTTGCACTTTTCACTATTTTGTTGTATTCCACACACACACACACACACACACACAGAGATATGTTTGCTTACCTACTAAAATGACAGTCTTCTCAATCTCCATTTTTTATCTTTGTATTTTCACAATACTGGAACAAAGCAGGTAGGTGGGTTTGTGTGTGCTTAGTTATACTTTAGTTTAAGTCTTTTGTCTCGAAATTGGAGCAAGATTT